GATTTGAAAGACAATTTGAAACTCACAACTAGGGAAATGTTTAAGCATACTGTAACTATGAACACTGAGTTAAATATTATCTATAGGCCTGAGGGGAAATAAACAAAATGCAGTTGAATGTGAAAAAGCAAATTTCAGTTTGATAAAAATATACTTATGTGATAAAACTATACTTATTTGCATGTTAATGTTGGGACACAAAGAAATACGTGGGATACCTAAGCTTTAAACAGTATTCTGAAAGAAACACATGGAGAAATTGAGGAATGGAAAGAGACAAAGATTGATTTTTTTTAATTTAAAATTTGTTTCATTGGTTTCTGTACAAATGCACTATCTCAATATAAGACAAAATACTCAAACAAAATTAAATAAATTTTCATTTGGCAGTTTCTCTCATTTGGAGTTTTACTTTTGATATTAACGTGAAACATTAGAACAGAATTATCTCTGTAGTATTCCCATTTGCAGATATTCTCTTTACTTTCCTCAAATTTATTATAAAATATTTACCTCTTTATACATGTAAAAAAAACCAATTCAGTGTTCAGAAAAACACTTTTGTGGGGCATGGTGGCACACGCCTATAATCCCACCACTCAGGAGGCTGAGGAAGGAGGACTGCCTCAAATTCAAGGCCAGCCTGAAGTACATAGTGAGACCTTTTCTCAAAAAACCAAAAACTTTTAGCGCATTGGTTCTGCCATCTGCCTGAAAACAAACAAACAAACAAAACCTAAACAACAAAAACAAAATACTCATATAGACTTTGAGAAAAAAGGGAATGGTGGTGGGACATGAAAAATGAACCTCTATGACTGATGTATGGATTACCCTTCTATAGAATGGTATCTGTGCAATGTAGGAGCTACTTCCTGAGCATGAAAATTGAGGTATGATAAAGGACCATCTTGAAACATTAAACCTCAAAAAGGCAAACTGTGGTGTATTGTGTTTTAACTTCAGAATTTCTTAAGTGACCTTTAGTAAGGAGGAGTAGTTGCTACAAAACAGTATGGCCGGCAAGGAGAAAATACTTATTATCTGCTCATTTTGGAAAACATTTGTTGAACTTTGGTCTAGACTAAAATATATAATTCCAGTGATGTGTTTGTTTCTACTGCAAAATTGGGATAGTATTTTTTTTGATAGCTTAACTCTAGATTTTCCTTTTTAGTTATATATGTATTTACAGTCAAGAAAGTATCCTGTTTTTTAATTGATGTCATGCTTAGAATAAAAAATAATGCATGTTGGCCAGGTGTGGTGGCACACACTTGTAGTTCCAGCACTTGGGAGGCTGAAGCAGGAGGATTGGTGCAAGTTTGGGGCCAGCCTGGGTTATGTAATGAGTTCAAGGCCAGCCTAAACTATATAGTGAGTCTGTGTCTCAAAGAAAAACCCAAAAAATGCATGTAAGAGGGGCCAGGGATTTAGCTCAGTGGTGCTGCCGCCTGCCTTAAAAGTGCAAAGTCCTGTATTCGATCCCCAGTACCAAAAAAAAAAAAGGAATAAAAATAATTTGAACTACACCAGGTCATTTTTTACAAAGTATCCTGCATTTCTAGAATTTAGCTATTTTATCTCTGAAAAAAAAAATTTTTTTCTGGAAAATTTTTTAAACTGAGTGTTCACATCCTACAAATTATAGGGAAATTATTCCTCCTCACACAACCAAATCTCCTTAGGGGCAAGGAATATGCTATCCTAAAAGTTCATCCTAGAACAAAAGGAAAAAAATCCTCCTGTGAGACACGGACATGCCCTTTGCTACTGTCCAAAACAAAAGTAACCCAAGTACAGCCACTTGAGACTTGCAGAAATTACATCTCTTTGCCTTGTAGTGTTCTTGTTTTATCAAACTATGAATAGGTAATTAAAAATGAGAAGTTATCCAATACATTAAAAGTAGAATTCTTGGGGCCCGGGGATTTAGCTCAGCGGTTCGGTGGCCTGCCTTGCAAGCGCAAGGACCTGAGTTCAATTCCCAGTACCAAAACAAACAAACAAACAAAAGTAGAATTCTTTAAAAAGTGGTAGGCATGGGCTGAGGATTTAGCTCAGCCGTTCCACTGCCTGCCTTGCAAGCACAAGGACCTGAGTTTGATCCCCAGAACCAAAAGATAAAAAAATAAAAATAAAAAGTGGTAGGCATGATGGCACATACCTGCAATTACTGCACTCTGGAATGAGGTAGGAAGACAGGAAACTTGAGCCCAGCTTGGGGAACTTAGCAACTTAGTGAGGCCCTATCTCAAAATAAAAATTAAAACCAAGGCTGGGTATGTAACTCAGAGTAAAGATCCTGGGTTCAATCCCTACTACCAGAAGGGAAAAGAGATTTCTGGATTTTCAGTCACAACAGCATGTAAAACTGGGCATCACAGTTGGCTGGAACAGGACCCTGGAGGTGCTGTTTAGGTACATACTGTCTCAACTAGTTACATTTCTATTACTCTTTTAATAGATACAGTTAGCTGATTTCTTTAGGACATGTGCATTATCTTCACAGCTGACAGTGAAAAACAGCTGTATGGGGGGTACTCTCCTGTCCCATTTTTCTGTTATCAGTATTATGTTAGAAAGGTAGAATATATGACTATTGTATAACTGAAGTAGTTCCTTTAACACTTGACACAGCTTTTCTTAAAAAGCTGGGTTTGTTGCATCATTAATAGCTAATTGACCTAATGATAATTTTTCTGTTCCGTATGTTTACAAGAATCTTCTAAGAGTTCTAATACTGCATCAATACTAGTAATTTATATTTTCCTAAGAATAATTTTGTTTGGGTTTCCAAATGTACCAGAAAACACTGTAGGGCGAGGGATTTAGCTCAGTGGTTCTACCACATGCCTCACAAGCACAAGGACCAGCGTTCAATCCCCAGTAACAACAAAAAAAGAGAAAGCACTGTATTCAGAATAGCCTTTTAAATCTTTAGCCATAGTTTTTCTGTATAGATATCAATTCTTAAACATAGTGCTGTTCGTTACTTTTGTTCATAGGCATCACCAATACATTGTAATATGCTTTTCTTTTTACACAAAGTATAATATAATGTAACAAAAAAGGAATTCACCCTGAATTAAGCCTCATTCATTATTAACATTACATTTCCCATCAACACCAGTATTATTTGCTGCTCTCAGGAAATAAGTGATGATGGAAGATTTTCCTAAATTCATTACCCTCAAAGGGTCTTTTTTAATTAAAAATACCCTGCCTCATGGTGAATTCATTTTGCAGAAAGTTAAAAACCTCCTGACAAAATAATACTGATGGCAACAATGAATACAATAACAATGACTAACATACAGTGATATGTATTTATTATATAGCAGGCACAATTCTAAGCACCTTATATGTATGTATTAACTTATTTACTTCTCATAAAACATTGAGGTAGGTATTATAATCATTCTCATTGCATAATTTCTACTGAGAAATACATCTATAAAACATAGGGCTGGCATGATGGTACATATTGTAGCTCAAGTTGCTTGGCAGGCCGAAACAGGAGGATCACTTGAGCCCACAAGTTGAAGACTAATCTAGGGAGCACAGCAAGACCCTATCTCTCAAGAAAAATCACCAGGAAGGGCAACAAACTCACAATGACTAATCTTTGGGAAGGAAAATGGGTATAAGATAGAAGACAAAAAGTATGTTTATTTCATGTGTAAAGTTTAAATCTTTTATAGGGAAAACTTATTTCTGCAATCAAAGTAAGACATAAAGATATGCCTAGAAAGAATGTTGATCAGGGACAAGGATTTTAGCATGTATCATGGCAGAATATCTGGAAGAAACTCAATATCCATCAATAAGAATTTAATAAAATAATATTAGCTGCATGTGGTGGTGTAAACCTGCAATAAAACAAACAGCCATCTTCAAACATAAAAAAGGTAGCCAGGTATGGTGGCACATACCTATAATCACTGTACTCAGGAAGCTGAGGCAAGAGCATCACAGATTTGAATCCCAGCTAGACTATATACCAAGTCTGAGGTCAGTCTGAATTACACAGTAGGACCTTGTCTCAAAAATACACACACACACACACACAGTGGACATGGTGGTGCCTGCCTATAATCCAAGCATTCCAGTATGCTGAGGCAGGATGATCCCAAGTTTAAGACCAGCCTGGGCAACTTAGTGACCTAGTAAAACCTTGTCTCAAAAAAATAGTGATGGGGATCTCTCTGTTCAAAGGCCCAGAGTTCAATCCCTAGTACTAAAAAAACAAACAAAAAGGTCACTTTTCTATTATTAAAGATAAATTAAAAATAAAAGTACTTTACAAACTGTGGAGCAGTATATTTTATAGTCATACAAATTTAAGATGGTTTAAAATGTTAATAATATAATTATAGAAAAAAATTAGGGAGAAAAGAATGAAAATTATAAGATTACATTTCTGCATGGACTCTCTGCTACTTAAGGTCAGAAGTTGGGCGGCATACACCTGTTATCCCAGCATGCTGGGAGGCTGAGGCAAAATGATCACAAGTTTGATCTTAGCCTAGGCAATTTAAGTTGGACCCTACCTCAAAATAAAAAAATAAAGAAATGGCTGAGGATGTAGCTCAATGTAAAGGACACCGCTCAATGTCCAGTACTGCCAAAAATTAGTGGCGCCACACCTGCCTGGCAAGAACAAGGTCCTGAGTTCAATCCTTGGTACAAAAAAGAAAGAAAAAAAAAAAAGACCAGAAGGGCCAAAAGTATTGTTTCTTTCAATATTTTCTATAGTGAATAATATAAGATCAAGAAAATATACACTTTCATTAAAAGGCTTCTGAAACATATTCAATTCTTAGTGTTTTACCAACACAATTTCTCTTCAGATGAATAAACTAGTCAACAAATAAAATGTTTCTATAGCCTTGAATCCAAAAGATTATTAACAAGATAAATTCTCTGATACTGAATGGTTTGAGCCATAATTAAAAGCCTTCCCATATATTCTGTATAGTGTGGTTTATCACCAGTACAAATTTTGATGTTGAATAAGTTGTGAGTCATAATTAAAGTTTTTTCCACATTCTCTGTATTCATAAGGTTTCTCACCAGCATGAATTCTGTGATGACTGATAAGTTGTGAACTCTGAGAATAAGCTTTCCCACATATCTTACATTCATAGGGTTTTTCACCAGTATGAATTCTCTGATGTCTAGTAAGGTCAGAACCAGAACGAAAAGCCTTTTCACATTCCTTACATTCATAGGGTTTCTCACCTGTATGGATTCTTTGATGTTTAATAAGTTGTGAACTCTGACTAAAGGCATTACCACACTCCTTACATTCGTAAGGTTTCTCTCCAGTATGAATTCTTTGATGTTGAGTAAAATTTGAACCACTACTAAAGGCCTTCCCACATTCTTTACATTCATAAGGTTTCTCACCAGTGTGAATTCTCTGATGTCGAGTAAAGTTTGAACCACTACTAAAGGCCTTTCCACATTCTTTACATTCATAAGGTTTCTCACCAGTGTGAATTCTATGATGACGAGTAAGGTCAGAACCACAAATAAATGTTTTTCCACATTCTTTACATTCAAAGGGTTTCTTGCCAGTGTGAATCTTCTGGTGATGAGCAAGCCTTGAGGGATGTCTAAAGGCCTTTCCGCATTCTTTACATTCATAAGGTTTCTCAATAGTGTGGATTATTTGATGAGCAGTAAACTGAGAGCCATGTCTAAAGTTTTTCCTATATCCTTTACTTGCACAGTATTTCTCTTTATTATTAATAATTTGCTGTAACGTCAAGGATGAATGCTGACTAAAAGTAGGTATATCTTCATGAGTGATTATCAGTTCACTGAACTGTCTTTCCTGAGAGCCAGGCTGTTTCTCAAACTGGCCACGATATTCCCAATCATCTCTGAAACTAGAGCATTGCAGGTCATGTCTTGTAAGTCTTCCCATTATCTCCCACTGGGCTGACTCTATTTCATAAATTTCTTTCTTCAGAAATAACTGCTTGGTTTCATATCTTGATTCTAGGACTGAAAGAAAATATGAAAGCAATCACCAATCTTTTTATTTTTTTTCAGCTTTAACTGAGTTTATTGGTACATTTTAGGGATACAGTACAGTTACATTCATTGTTGGGATCTTGTACCTCTACATGACAAGTCTTGATTCTCATTTTTTCCCCTTACCCCTGCCCTCCCTTCAACACCTCCTCCCCTTCCCATCTACAAACACTTTATTTCTATCTTTTCATTATCTCACATTTTTTTCTTTTCCCTTATTACCCTTCCCCTACCCATCTCACCTTCCCTACACCTTCAGCTCCTTTCTTCCCATTTCTAAATGCGAGTAATCTTATTAGGATCTTATGTATTATTGCAGATTATTCACACCAGGGAAACTATTCGGTATTTACACGTGTGACTTATTTATTTCACTTAGGAGTATATCTTCAATATGTATCCATTTTCCTATGAATGAATCTATTTTCTCCACCAATCTTTTTATTAAGAGGAACAAAAGTACAATTAAAATGGGAGAATTAAACTGAATTTTAAAAATGGATGAAAAAAGGAAAGACAGTAGGGAGACCGCATAGGAAAACTGTTGTCAAGTATGTAACACAATAAATACTAAATATTATTGTGGAATAATATTCTAAATTCAGTAAAGAAGATTATGTAAAATCACACTAACCCACACTGCAACTTTTCTGTGATAGGAATAAGGTGTTCAATCTAATCATTCTTTGTAAAAGTAGAGGACAGAATAAAAACAGGTCATATTCTCAGCAAGACTAAAACAGATATAGCAGTGATAAAATAAAGCAACTCAGCTAGGAATGGTTAAGTGTACACCTGTAATCCCAGTACTCTGGGAGGGTAAGACAGGAGAATTCAAAGTTTGAGCCAAGCCAAGGTCTCACAATAAAAAAATAAAAAATGGCTTGGGATGTAGTAGTTCAGTGTGAAGGCCCCAGGTTCAATCCACCAGGGGGGGAAAAAAAAGACAGAAATTAAGGAGGAAAGAAGTTATCAGAAAAAAGATTATGAGAATACCTACAAGTGAAAGTCACAATAGCTAAAATAAAATCTCAGTGCAAGATGTCAGAATAGTTTTCCTTTTGCAGAATCATCAATCTGAACAAATACATGTAAAAATATCTTCACAACAGCTAGGCAGTCCAAGTGAAAGATTACTGCACCTGGGCAGAGCACAGAAAAGACCCTCTGCAAGGAATAGGAAGAACACTTTTACATCATCTATGTCTAACCTCTGTAGAGTCCAGGCAGTAAACAGGAGAGAGCTAACGGGTAGTAGCAGTGAATTTATAAGTACCTGACTTTGCTACAGACACAAGTTACAGGCCTGCCCAGTGAATTCCAGCACCAAGTTGACTTCCATGGTCCTAGGCTTCAGGCCCACATCTTTGCCAGGCAGACTCCTGTGTCCCCATGCTCCAAGCCAGCCCCTATGCCTCTGAGGTCTAGGCAGGCCAACTGCTGCCACAGATTCTAAGATGGCCCTCATAGCACAGATTCCAGACCCATTTGAAGTGACAAAACAGTATCTGTGAACCATGATTCCAAGCTCTATGCCAGTCTTGATTCCAAATCAGGAACATAAGACCCAGGAACTACATGGACCCAAACTCCAAACACACCTCCATTACCCCAGTCACCAGACCTACAGTGGACACCAGCACAAGGCTAGCCTCGCTGGTTCCAGAATCCATGCCTAAATGTATAGATTCAAGTTCCAAGACCTTCTATGTACTCAATGGACCCAAAATTCAGGACCCTCTTCCCAAACCAGGAAGCAAGCCAGTCCTTAAGAAACTAGGTACCAGGCTCACCCACTGATGGCTAAGGCACCAAGCCAGCCAGAACCTCTGGACCCAAACAAGTACAAAGATTTTCTACGTCACAGACAATCTACAAAGACTAGATGCAGCACCTACTTCTTAAAATGTGATTACACCAAGGAATATCCACCGGAAGGATGATTAATCAGGACAACATGAACTCAAGAGAAATAGAAATTTACAAACCACCTAATTAAGAATTCAAAATACTCATCTTGAAGCTCAGTGAACTACAAAAAGAGAAGACTAGATAGATAGACAACTAAATAAAATGAGGAAAACAATTCACGGTTAAGTTCAAAACAGACACAAACCACACAAAAATTAACAAATAGAAACTCTAGAGCTAAAGAACATGTAACGGAATTGACAAATTCCATGGATCTTCAACAACAGATGTAATCATCAGAAGAACTGATTAGTTTGAAGACTAGTTATCTGAAATGACCCAGAGAAACAAACAAAAAAAAGAATGAAAGCAAGAAGGAATACAGTACTTAGACGACATCAACAAGCAAATCAACATTTATGTAAGATCCAAGAGGAATGGGGAAAGAGATAGGGGACAGAAAGCTTACTTAAGAAATAATAGTGGTAGGTACAGCGGCAGCACCTGTCATCTCAGCTGCTCAGGAGGCCGACGTGGGTGCTTGGGCAACTTAGCGGAACTATCAGTGGAGATGCAGTTCAGAGGTGGCATGCTCGCCTAGCATGTGTGAGGCCTTGGGTTTAATCCCCAGTACCACAAAACAAAAGAGGAATAAAGAGAGGGATGGAAAAAGGAAGGGGTAAGGGAAAGAAGGAAGAAAGAGGGTAAAGAAAAATGGGAGGGAGGGGAGAAAGGGAGAAAAGGAAGAGGGAAGGAAGAAGAAATGGAGGAAGGAAGGGAGAAAAAGAAAACTTCTGAAATCCAGAGAAGGAAATGAACAGCCAAGTCTATGAAGCCCAAGAACCCCAAACAGATTAAATACAGAGATGCTCAGCTGGGTGGTGTAGTGCATGCTGGTAATCCTAGCTACTTGGAAGACTAAAGCAGAAGAATCAGAAGTGTGAGGCCAGCCTGGGCAATTCAGCAAGATTTCATCTGAAAATAAAGATAGAAAGAGCTGGGAATGTAACTCAGCCTACAGTACTGCCAAATGAAGGAGGAGGAAGAGAAGGGTTACGAAGAGGAGGAGAGATGTTCACTGAGACATATATATCAAATTCTCAAAAGTCAAAGAAAGTTCTGCAAGCAGCAATAGAAAGTAACAGACCATACTCAAGGGTAACACCACAGACCTAGATTACTGAGCATAAATCTTACAGGCTAAGAAAGATTGGGATAATATTCAAAGTTCTGAGGAAAAAAAAATCTCCTAACCAAGAATACTATAACCAGGACTATGGTACATTGGTGACATAGATGTTTTTCGGAAATGTATGAATTCCCCAATGAGCCATAGGAGGCATATATAGGAAATAAATGTAAAATATGAGTTCTACAAACAGAATATATCAATGATAAAGAATCAAGAGTTGACTATCCAGGGCTGAAGAAAAGCCTTAATATTGAAATGTTTCTCTCACATGCTAAGCAGGATTTATAAAGGGGTTTAATTAGATATATCTTGGTATAAATTTCTGGAATTGAAAGAAAAAAACTCCATTGAATTAAAATCCTGGTAACTCAAGTTGTATCCTAAAACATGTTTTATGTTTGTTATTGTCTCTACAGTTCTCTAAAATTTTTCTCTGTGTGTGTGTGTGTGTGTGTGTGTGTGTGTGTGTGTGTTTTGCTGGGGATTGAATCCAGAGTCTGTTCTGAGCTACGTCACTAGCCCTTTTGCAAAATGTTTAGTTGAGACATGGTCTCACTCTGTCACTAAATAGCCCAGCAAGGTTTGTTTTGTTTGTTTGTTTGTTTGTTTTTTGAGACAGGGTCTCACTATGTAGTTGAGACTGGCCTAGCACTTACTATGTAGCCCAGGCTGGTCTCAAATTCAGAGATCCTCCTGCCTCAGTATTACAGGTGTGCGCCACCACACCTAGCTAGCCCAACAAGGTTTGAACTTGCAAACCTTCTGCCTCAGCCTCTCAGATTACTATGATTATAGGTATATGCCACCATACCCAAGTTGTATCTTTCACCAAATTTGGTAAAATGTTCAGCTATTATTTCTTCATGAATTAATGCAACAATATTCATGAGTTTTGAAGCAAAATGTTCACACAAAGCAAGACACGAAAAATAAAAAAAACTAGGGCTGGGGACTTAGCTCAGCGCTGCCTGCCTTGCAAGTGCAAGGTCCCAAGTTCGATCCCTGGTACCCAAAAAACAAACTAGAAACTAAAAACATACAAAAATCATGACATAAAAGAATGTTATTACGTTTTAGTATGTGTGATAATTTCCAATAAAAGTATCTAAAATATCAAGTGTCTGCTAGGCACATCTATCTGTATTGGTGCAAGTGGAGACATGGATAAAAGAAACAGAAAAAAGATGTTAAAGTACAACCTAACATACATCAGAACTTAACAATTATCAAGTATGCAGGTAAAACAATGATGAAATAAGCAGCTGTTGAATAAACAGTATTAAAGTAGAATATGTGTATATGGTGGTGGAGTGTTTGATTTGGATTCCCAGCTTATATTTTATCGCAAAGGAAATTTAAGAGAGATATAAAACAAATTGCAGGAAAAAATTTATAAATGTGACATCTAAAAAGTCTATAGAAGCCAGTTAATTTTCTAAAAAGAGAAATCACAACAACCATAAAGGAACTTATGTCAGGTATGGTGGCGCATGCCTGTAATCCCAGCATTTGGGAGGCTGAGGCAGGCGGATTGCTGTGAGTTTGAGACCAGTCTGGGCTACACAGTGCGTTCCAGAGCAGTCTGAACTACATAGTGAGCCCCTGTCCCAAAAAATCAAAAACAAACAAACAAACATAGAGGAACTTATTACAAATACATTAAAATATCCATATTAAGGATGCCAATCCAGATAAAATTAAAAGTCCCCTCTGAAATTGAAAGGTAAATGTTTTTATTCCATGAAGTCCATAAAAACTGAAGGGGTTGAAGGGAGGGGAATGGGAAAAAAAGGAATAATTAAGATATATCATATATAGGTACAAATTCCCTACGATGAATATTATAATTATATACATGTAAAAATGTACCAATAAAATTCTTTGAAAACTGACTGAAAAGATAATAGTTGATAAAAAGTATATAAAAGCGGCACAAACAAGTTAGTGAAAATGTTCATTCTCATAAGTACTTAATATGACACTAAAATAAATCAATATACTAAGAAATAATTATAAATTTCATTACGCATGATTACTGTATTAGAGTTATATAAGGAAGAAATGACAAGAGGTCTTGGATTTGTTTGAAAATACTTGAGCAACATTAGGGAGATGCAGCAAGTGTGGCATCTATGTTTGAAAATTTTCACAATAAAAGACAGTATTAAGGTGGGTATAGTGGTACATGCCTGTAATTCCATTATGTGGGAAGCCGAGGCAGCAGGATCATGAGTTCAAAGCCAACGTGGGTTATACAGTGAGTACAAGACCAGGCTGGATGAGAGTGAGACTCCTTCCCAAAAAATACAAAACTATCAAAAAAAATGAAAACAAACTACTGTATAACTTGCCAAAGATGTAGGCAAAAATTATTTATTTAAAACAAAAATAAACCATTCCTAAAACATATAATGCAATGTGCATTATTAAATACTCAAATACTGTGAATGAAAATGTGACAGCTTAGAAACATCTTGCTTCCGGGAATCAATCCCAACAAGCTAGGCTCCACCCCTCCTGTTAATGCCAGGGGTAATATTTAAGCAATGGTCTCTAGGCCCATCACTGTATCACAACCAAACTACAACAAAAGCCTACTAAATGGTCTGCTTGCAACCTTACTTCCTATAAAGCAAGGAAGGTAATCCTCTTAAATCATAAACTGAAGCAAAGCAGCCCTAGTCTAATAGCTTTCTAGTGACTTCTTGTCTCAAGTGAAAGGACTTTTATGATGGCCTGGGTGGCAGTTCATTAACTGACCGATTTCCTTCTTCCTCTGCCTTGTGATCTAATCTCCCATCCATATATAACTCTGCTCTCACTCTGCTCTAGTCACCGGCCTCCCATGCTGGTCCTCAAATAAAACCAATGCACGATTTGCATTAGAGACTTAGAACGTTTGGCAGATTTTTTTCCCTAGTAGTCACATATAGTGGACTTCTTCAGGTCTTTGCCCAAATGTTGTCTGATCAGAAAGTTTCTCTGTTTCACATAAAATAGGACACTCTAATCCTTTTCTCTACTTCATTTCTTTTTAGCACTTATTATTACCTGATATATTAATAGTCATGTGTCTTCGTATCTCTCCCTATAGTGGGGGATAAGCTCTCAAAAAAAAATTTTTTTTTGTATGTCTATTATCATAACCCCAGTATTGAGAACAGTGCTGGATATATAGTAGGTGCTCAGTAAATTTATACTGATGAATGTACTGTCCTGTTCTCCTCCTTGGTAACAAATCTAACATCTGTAACTTCTCCATAGAGACGTGCATCTTTTATATCTAACCCTCTATTTAAAGTTAATGACACACATTCTCAAGCCTCTCCTTCTATATAAATAAAGTCTTCTTCTCTAGCAATTCTCATTTGCTGCTAAACTCATTTTTTTGGCTTTTTTTTGGTATCACAGATCGAACTCGGGACCTTGTGCTTATGAGGCAGGTGGTGGAACCACTGAGCCAAATCCGCAGCCCTAAGCTCCCCGCTTTAACTTCTATTATCATGGTTATTCATGTAGAAGTTATTGACAGACATGGTCCATGACTCCTAATGGGCTGAAGTTCTAAAATTGCTTATTCCTTTTTTGAACTCTATAGTACCTAGCTAAGTACCTCATGCATGTTAGAAAAACAGTAAATACTGATTAAAAGTATGAACAAATCAGTGAGGGTTTACAACTCCTCAATTATTTGGTAAATTTTATTTACAAAATAAAACAAAACACCAGTTAAAGAAAACAAGTCTCTGACAACATAGAAAATATGTATTTTAAGAGATAGGAGGGCCAGGGATTTAGCTCATTGGTGCCACCACCTGCCTCGCAAGCACAAGGTCCCAAGTTCAAGCCCCAGTACCAAAAAAAAAACAAAACAAAACAAAGAGACAGGAATTTTTTTGAGACTACATACAAAACAGGATGAGAAGCTGAGAAGAAACTGGATCCAAAATATGGATAGAAAGGAATACCAGAAGAGAGAGTAGAAAGATTAAGTCACCAGCTAATTAGAATTAAGAGAGAAGTATAAGAGAAGAAAAGCAGGCTAGGGCCAGGGATTTAGCTCAGTGGCTCCGCGCCTGCCTTGAAAGCGCAAGGTCCCGAGTTCAATCCCTGGTACCAAAAGACAAAAAACGCAGGCTAAGAGTGTTAGGCACTGGGAAAAGGTAAATTCACACTGAGAAGGTCTTTTATTTGCACAACAAGCCAAAGCTTTTGAAGGGAGATTTCCAGATAGCATGTGAAAAAGCAGTCTCTCCACTGACCAACTGGATCATTACCTGCTGGGCCTCACTTACCTGGCCACTGGCCTCTTCTTAGCTCTCTGTCAACCAACCAGGGCTCCTTTCCTTGCTCCAAGTAGAAGATGACATTTGGTTTAGGAATGCAAAGTCCTGCTTACAAAAAAGAAAATAAGACAAATGTATAAGAATATCTCTGAATTCAAATCCAGGCTCTACATTGTACAGAAAGACAACATTACAGTAACAATCAAAGAAATGTAAACTAGACTAATGAAACACAACAGAAGATTTGAAATGTCTTGCATAATTCAATGTTGCTCCCTTTTTCTAACTCTACAATATTTAGAACATTCTCTTTTTTTTTTTGGTACTAGGGATCGAACTCGGGTCCCTGTGCTTGCAAGGCAGGCGGTGGAACCACTGAGCTAAATTCCCAGCCCTAGAACATTCTTGAAGGGATAGGATGCAGAATTCCAATCTGTCTTTGAAAGGTAAGTGAGCATTTTATACTGGAGGAAATAGACCTTCCAAGGACAGAATCTGAATTCTTATGGACAGACATCCTTACCCACGGAAACCAGGTTGCTGTAATTCTCCAACATCACATCTCTGTATAAATCTCTCTGATCATCAGTCAGGCATTCCCACTCCTCCTGAGAGAAGTCCATGGATACATCACTGAACATCACTGACTCCTGAAACAATAATCATGTATATGACTCGATTAATAAAAAAGCTTTGTGCAAGAAAAAGAAAAAGACTAAGGTACAGAAAGTGAAACACAGTGAGCATATGAATACAAGGACTGTAAAAAAACAATCACCACAGAATCACAGTACTTCCACGTCTTATCCCTCCAGACACAACTGCTTGCATTTAGTGGGCACTTCCATTATCCAAAGAGGTCAAGGAAGAGCAAAAATCTAGCCAAGAAGAGTTTTTTCAATCAAATGAAATTATTTACATAATGCTAGCCAGACGTGGTGGCGCATGCCTGTAATCCCAGCACTAGGAAGGCTGAGGAAGGAGGATCTCTGCAAGTTTGAGACCAGCATGGGCTACACAGTGAGTTCCAGAGTAGTCTGAACTACATAGTGAGACCCTGTCTCAAAAACAAAAAAAACCACAATGTTTTGCGTAATACCTGCCACATAATAAATTATCAAAACCATGTGATATTCTTTCTTCCCTTTTTTCAAACCGCTAAGAGTAAGATTTCAAGAGAAAAGGATAAAGATAGGACATTCAAAGCATCCACAGAGGACAGTAGATCATGTGAAAGGCATCAAGAATCAGAGGAGCAATGGAATTCTTGAGACCATCCCTAAAAGCAAGAAATTATATGTAAGAACAATTCTTCAACCACCTGATGGAGAAAAGTCTGACCTAGAACTCTATAACTAAACTATCATTCTTCTGTTAAAAAATGACATCCCCAGACATACAAAGACTCAAGCACGATTTCCTAGGCAACTACCAGAAGATGTGTTCCACTAAAACGAGGACTTAACCCAAAAGGATGACGACACAGGATTCAGGAAATAAGAGCGTGGTGAAAAAAAATCTAGGGAAAACATCAAAAGGAGTCTCAGGAAAGCTGTGCAGCAGGTCTAGACAGTAACCAGTTCAGGTGGGAGCAGGAAGACAAAGGAAAGGGAAAAGAAGCTCCTATGTTCAAAAGGAATCTGTATGTGTGAACAGATTTAAAAAAACTTATTGATTGGTATGTAGCAGTGATGCTGGGGTTTTCAGAAACAAATACACATTTAAGTACATGAGGGGAAAATCCAATTAACCACAGGAAAATTAAATGTTGTTTGTATTAGAATAAAGCCATGAGCTATCCAAAATGTCTAAATAGTAATCACTACTACCACTTTCCCTAGGAGTAAATTTATAGCGGGGATCGAACTCCGGCCCTGGCACTTGCCAGGCAGGAGGCGGAACCAGTGAGCTAAGTCTCTGGCCCAGGAGTAAATTTGGATCGGTTGTTTTTTTTTTTTTTTTTAATCTAGCCAATCATGGTAGCACACACCTGTAATCCCAGCATTCAGGAGGCTGAGGCAGGAGGATCACTGTGAGTTTGAGGCTAGTCTGGGCTACATAGTGAGTTCAAGGCCTGCCTAGTATACAAAGTGAGACCCTGTCTAAAAAATAAAAAAACAATAAGGAAGGAAGGAGAGGGGGAAAGGGGGAGGGAAGGGAAGGGAGAGAAAAGAGAAAAAGAAAAGAGGAAGCAATGTACTAACTTGGGAGAGAATATTTCAATCATAGCAATGTGATATTATTAGCTAGGTGTGGTGGCACATGCCTGTAATCCCAGTACTCTGGTAGGCAGACAGGAGTACCGCAAGTCTCAGACATTCAAGCTGGGCAACATAGTGAGACACTGTCTCAAAAATGGAAAAACAAAAAAAACCACTGGGGATGTACTTAGTTAAAAAGGTCCTGTAGGGCTGGGTATTTAGCTCAGTGGTTCTGCCACCTGCCTTGCAAATGCAAGGACCTGAGTTCGATACCCAGTAACAAAAAAAAAAGGAAAAGTGATACTATTGATTCAACCAAAAACAGTGATGTAATTCCTAATAGAGTCAGGAAAGATGAAAGGTATAATATAGGAGTTTAATGTCCCCTATGACTTTGCAGTAATTCAGGAGATAAGGAGTGTAACACATTCATCAAAAACAGCAGCTAAGCCTTATTCAAATTCTAATGGCAGCATCAGGCATGGTGGTACACAGCTTTGATCTCAGTCCTCTGGGAGGTTGAGGCAGGCGGATCAAAAGTTTGAGTCTAGCCTGGGTGAGCGACCTAGTGAGACCCTGCCTCAAGATAAACAAAAGGGATGGAGATATCGCTCCGGGTGAAGGCCCTAGTACGGAGGAAATAGAAGAAAAGATAATGGCAGTGCCTTTCTGGGAGTGGAATCGGTAATGAGTCAAGACTGCAATATTTTTACCTCACTTGAAACATGTTTACATGGCTTTAAAAATATTTTATCAGCCAGGCATGGTGGTGCACACTGTAATCCCAGCATTCTGAGAAGCTGAAGCAAGAGGATCACAAGTTTGATCCCAGCCTGGGCAACTTAACCAACCATGTTTCAAAATTAAAAATTTGAAAAAGTGGTGAGGGGGGCCAGGGATTTAGTTCAGTAGCGCCAGGCCTGCCTCACCAGCTCAAGGTTTGGAGTTCAATCTCTGCTGAGGTGGGTAGAAGGGGCTGAGGGTTCAGCTTAGGGTGAGGGCTTTTGGTTCAATCCCCAGAATTGAAGAAAAATTTATTTTAGAAAATTAAATTTTCCCATAATGACTCTGATTCAGTCTCATGCCACTATTATGTAAGGGGAATTAATCCTTTTACAATAAATGCTTTTTTAAGCATTTTTATTTCTCATCCCATAATAGTCTATTACAAAGATATAAATGACAACTATACTTTTGCCTTTCAACATTTAGGCTAGAGACGATTTTTTGGAGGGGGGTGGGTACCGGGGATAGAACTTGGGTCCTTACACTTGCCAGGCAAGCGTCAGAACCACTGAGCTAAATCCTCAGTCCATAGAGATGATTTTTAAAGAATTCTCTAACACTGACCCAATGTTATTTATAACCACGCATGCCTCAACTGTAAATTCTTTTTGATCTTGAGCTGTAAGAACATGATGAAGGATGGTCCAGACTCGTACAATGGCATTCCTGATATCAATTTTTCATGGATGCTTCCTGGAGTATCAGAGTGATAATGAACCAGTAGTCATATTCTCAAAACTAAAAGGCTACATAACCCACGTGTGATGGCACAAACCTGTAATCTCGGCACTCAGGAGACTGAGGGAGGAGGATCGCTGTGAGTTTAAAGGCCAGCCTGGCCTATACAGTGAGTTCAAAACCAGCCTGTATTAGCCTGTAGACAGATGCTGCCTCAAAAAAACTAACTAAATAAATAAATAAATAAATTTTAAAAGTTTTCATAAACCAGGAGAACTTGCCATATACTAAGACTAAAATTGAATAAAAACCATCACACATTACTTTCCTATGGAAAAACCCAGTTTTAGCCAGGGATTTAGCTCAGTGGTTCCACTGCCTGCCTCACAGGTGCAAGGTCCTGAGTTCGATCTCTGGTACCAAAATAAACAAATGAATGAAGAAAGAAAGAAAAACCCAGTCTTGTGGAGTTAATTTGGGCTTTTCTCTATGAGACACCCTAATCACTCATTTTCAATCCACCAAATCACTGTCCAAACAAGCAGATTCATTAATACAATGAGGGAAACATACTTCTGAATTACCATCAGGATTTCTGGCAGAAATATGAGATGCTCAAAGACTTGGTACATGAACACGTAAACATTGATTAAAAGAAAGGGAAATTACAATTGGCACTGAGTTGCTGAGGAGATGAAGCTCATGTTCCTGAAAGGGGACAACGGTAACTAGTGTTTTAAAAAAAAAAATCCAAACCTGGTCTAGATCAGACTTTTTTATTTTATTTTATTTTATTGTTTTGTTTTGTTTTGTTTTGTTTTGTTTTTGTTTTTGGTACTGGGGATTGAACTCAGGTCCTTGCACTTCAAAGGCAGGTGGCAGAACCACTGAGCTAAATCACCAGCAGACTTTTTAAAAAATTTTTTTATTTTATTTTAAAGAAATGGGATCTTACTATGTTGTCAAGGCCAGCCTCAAACTCCTAGACTCAAGAGAACCTCCTTTACTTAGCTTCCCAAGTTGCTGGGACTACAGACGCATGCCACCATGCTTAGCTTTGGGTTAGACGATTTTTAAATTAAGTGATTTACAATTTTAAGAAAGCATTCTTTAAAAATGACCAGTGGCACTGCCTGCCTTACAAACATAAGGTCCCCAAATTCAAGCCCCAGTACAAAAAGAAAAAAAATAACCAGTGGGCCAGGAATTTAGCTCAGTGATGCCACCACCTGCCTCACATTGCTTTGAACCAAATTGAAAGGGTTTCTTTGGGTTTTTCTGTTTGTTTTGGTACTGGGAAATGAACACAGGGCCTTCACTGTGACCTACACCCTCAGCCCTCCACTTTTTAGAGACAGGGTCTCATTAAGGTAAGTTGTCCAGGCAAGACTTAAGCTTGGAATCCTCCTGCCTCAGCCTCCCAGAGTGATGGGACTACATATGTGCACTACCTTGCCCAGCTAGAAGGGTTTTTTTTTTTTTAATAAGAAAATCTCATAATGAGGAAAAGCAAGTGTTTACATGTGTGAGAGGTAAAAAGGATTCGATTTCAGCAAAAAGAAACAGTATCTTACCTGAGCCATGGCTTTAATATTTGTAGAAAAAGACTTCCTTTGGGTTCCTCTTTTGGGAAAGGACAGACCTGAGAGAGGCTAAAGAAAATATGTCAGACTCCTCTTGCCTCATGACACCCACAATGATCTTTTCCCCTGTATTCAACCCATAAAATCTCTTGGGAGCATCAGTGAGAAAAATGGGTAAATCTCTCATCATCTTCAATTCTATAGAGCCAGGCTTTGGATTAGAACCAGCTGAATCTGGGTAAGATGGATACGGCTTGAAGAAGGAATGTTCGCATACAAACAAACATACACACATACAAAGATATAAACATGTTTTTGATGTCATACATCATACTTATAGCACATATACACTACCTCAGACATTGCTATTTCTATTTAAGGTACCTTGGAATAAATCTGAATTAATATATACTGTGATACATAACCGTCTTAATAGCTACACTGTATTCTATGAAATGGATATACCCTAATTTACTAAGCCAATCTATAGCCAGTGATCCTTTGTTTTCTCTTTCATTATAACATAGTTGCAATAAATACCCCAGTGCATGTATCATTTTACTTGTACAGTATATGAATTCTGATTAATCTCTGGAAGTAAAACTGTTCAAAGATTTTACACATTTTAAGTTTGGATTTATCTTGGTCAAACCAATTTTCAATAAGCTTAGGTTACAAAATCTGGGCCAAGGTCCTAACCAAGAATCAGTCATCTTGGGCTGGGATTTAGCTCAGTGGTGCCGCCACCTGCCCTGAAAGTGAAAGGTCCTGAGTTTGATCTCAGGTACAAGAAAAAAAAAAAAAAAAGAATCAAATATCTTGCCTAGTTTGAGAAGATATGGGGTGTTAATAGGTCTTGGCTTAACCTAATTGAAACCTAGAAAATGAAACAAAATAATATTACTGACCCAGAAGTCTAATATCTTCTATCAGCACCTGTGAAGGCATATCAAGCTACTTTATTACTTTACAAATAGGAGAAAATTTCAGATACTTCACAGTTCTTGACAGAAACTTGAAGTTTAGAATTAGAATTGAAGGTATGAGTATGAACTGGTGGTTTTAAAATATGTAAACAGATACACAGATGGATGTGTGCAGAAACATTTACATATTTTTAGCTCTCTCCACTGACCAGAACTTGGGTAGTGGCAACCGAAGAGCAATGAACACACAAAGTGACCAGAAGTTGGTTTATAAATTCATTTTCCAATAAAAGAAACTGGAGCTCCTTGAAGAAAATGCTGATTCCAAGGCTGGAGGAGGTAAAATACAAGATAAGCATGGAGTATCTCAGGGTGTCAGAAATTAAGAAAATCCTCAACAACCAAAGGCATAGTGAAGGGACACAGGAGCCAACTTAACGGCCAAATCTGGGCAGCAAAATGAATAATGACGATAATGGTTTAAAATTCATGTAATAAAATATCCATAAGTCTATAAATGATAAAGATGCATATGGAGAAGAGACAGCTCTTCCTCATACTGGAATTTAAATAAATACAAAATGACAGAGAAATCATTAGTCAAACATTACAGTATTGTTACAGACAACATTTCCAAATTGATGTTAAAATTAATGGGCTAAAGTATGATTAGAGACAGAATTTTTGTATAGTCTCAATCTCGTCAGAAGATAGATAGTAAAAAGGGAAAAACAGGGCCAGGGATTTAACTTAGTGGTGCTGTTGCCTGCTTCGCAAGCGCATGGTCCTGAGTTTGATCCCCAGTACCAAAAAAAAGCGGGGGAGAATGGTAATTTGGAGGGGGGTTGAGATAGGCTCTCACTGTGTAGTTGAGACTGACCTGAAACTCACTATGTAGCCCAGACTGGTCTCAAACTCACAGCGATCCTCCTGCCTCAGCCTCAGGATTACAGGTGTGCACCACCACTCCCAGCTAACAGTAATTTTTTTATAGGAGAAACCTGGCAAAACCCAGCATTACCAACTGATAAAGGTTAACATCACCAATAATGAGATACAATGATATTACATCTCTGATATGACACTTTAAAAGAGTACAGCATTTCTGTGATCTTGCCAAAAATGTATTGTCTACATTTTTGCGGGGATACAGGGGATCGACCTCGGGGCCTTCCACTTGCAAGGCAGGCAGCAGCACCACTGAGCTAAATCCCCAACCCTGCATTGCCTACATTTAAGCATGAGGCAAAAAGAGACTAGCCCCAACTGAAAGACATTCTACAAAATATCGATATTATTCCAAAGATTAAGGTGATGAAAGATGAAGAAGACTAAAAGAACTATCTCAGATGGGGGAAGACTAATGAGACAAGACAAATAAACTAATACGGGACCACAGAATAGCTCCCGGCACAGAAAAGTACAAAATGTAAATTTGTTAAGTTTTTATCAGTGTAAATATCCTGTTTTTCACAATTGTTCTGGGGCACATGAACAATTGCAAAGTCTTTATACTATGTTTACCATACAAAAATAAAATTTTTAAAACCGAAAAAGGCCAGGCGTGGTGGCGCAGGCCTGTCATCTCAGCACTAGGGAGGCTGAGGCAGGAGGATCACAGTGAGTTTAAGACTAGCCTGGGCTTCATAGTGAGTTCCAGGTCAGTCTCTCAGTCTCAACTACGTAGTGAGACCCTGTCTCAAAAAACCAAAAAAAACGAAAACAAAAAAAGATTAAAAAGGAGAAAATTGGCAAAAATATCTGAATGGGCACATCAAAAAAAGGATATTCAAATTGCTAATAAACACATGAAAAGGGGCTGAATAACATTATACATCGAGAAATCCAAATTAAAACTATGAAATTCCACTGTACAACCAACAAAATAGTTAAGAGATTACTTTATGAAATAATGGATATAATGTGGAGCAACTGGAACTCTCACAAAATTGCTGGTTGGAGTGTACACAAGCAATCACATGAGAAATGGGTAGTATCTATTAAGTATGCACCTACCTTATAATCTAATTCTAAGTATTTACTCTAGAGAAAAGATTTCATATATCTACCCAAAGAAAACATGTTAGGATGTTCATGACAGCAACATAAATTGAAACAGTCTCAAATTAGAAACTACTCAAATATCCACCAGTAGTGTAATATACTGTAATATATCATCGAATATAATAAGAACTAATTACAGTCTCACTAAACAGCCTGGATGAATTTCACGAAAATAATACCGCACAAAAGAAGCTAGGCATAAGAGTACATGCTATATTATTCCATATACAGGTATACATGACATTCAAAAATGGATAAAACTAGCTAGGGATTTAGCTCATTGGTTCCATCACCTGCATTGCCTATATCGCTTGCCTCCAAAGCGCAAGGTCCTAAGTTCGATCCCCGGTACAAAAAAAAAAAAAAAAAAAAAAAAAAAAAACAAAAAATAAAAAAAAAAAAAAAAAAAAAAAAAAGATAAAACTAATAAGAATTCTGAATAGTGACTGTGGAAAAGATGACTGAGGGGTGGGGCATAAGGGAACCATCTGGGATCTTTGCAAAGTCCTTTAAGAGACTGTTACAAACATGCATGCATAAAATTTGTGCATTCTATATTTAGTTGTATATGCTACACAGTTTTGACAATGTTTTGGTAGGGATATATAGTAACAAGATTTTCAAACACTGCCATGCAAAGTGTAAATTCGTTCGTCCATTTGGCATATGTTTTGCAATATTTAGTAAAGTGGAAAGTATCATATAATTCGACAATTCCACTAGTAGATAAACTCAAGCTTGCGTACACTATGTAGAAGAAAGTTTGAGGCAGCGTTGTTCATATGTTTAAAAACTATAAATAATTTAAATTTCCATCATTACAAGAGGGGATGAGTAAGTGCAGTATACTCAAAACTGTAGAATACAATATAGCAAAGAACTGGAATGAACCGTTCTTATATCTAACATAAATGAATCTCAGTTGTACATATAAACATAATAAAAGGCAAAACGACAGAAGACAACTACCATGAAGTTCTAGAAAGGGGAGAAACTACAGTACAGTATAGTGCTTAAAGAGGTATACACACGTGATAAAACTTCATACACACCTACAATGGGGACATTCAGTTACAGGAAACCCACACCCAAACCAACAAGGCCACACACTTAGGGCCTTATAAGGTCACCTAGGCACACCTGCATTTAACGATGGGACACTCAGTCATAAAGGCATTGTCACACCTGCATCTAGTCAATGTCATGACCACATACAAACCACGTACTCACACTGATACACCAAGTATTCCCACCTGTACTCTTGCACATAGTCGCAACGTGCAACCCTACATCACTACGAGGACAAACTACATAGTAACACTCAGTCACAAGCTCCCCACAGACGCACACAATTCTGCAAGTGGTACTAATCTCTTTCACCTCCCCTCCCATCTTATCTGCACCAGTATCAGCATTAGAAACAAATACCAATCACAAAAACAGCCGGTTACAATCACACGATCATGCTTCACAAAGCACCACACAGCCCAAGCACGCAGTTATAATCTTGACTTCTTTGCACAAAGAGAAGGGTCGGGCTACAGTCCCGCCCTCCCTTCAGGTTCCTCACCTCCGTCCTTCCAAGGCTCTCCAAAGCAGCGCAACGCTGCTTAATAAAACACTGGGGTAAATGCTGGTGCAACCCTAAGGATCCCGCCAGCTTGTGACTCTAATGTTGCATTCCCGCGAGAGGCCGAGGAGGCTTCTGGGAAATGTAGTCAGAGACGTACTGGGGTAGACAACATGGCGCCCCCTCAACAGGATTCTTAATCAGCGATTAGTTGGAGCCGGGTGGACATGATTTCACCCCTTATTGAAACACACCCTGAAGACTTCACGGAGCAGTAGCTCAGTTTCCAGTCGTGGCTTCCAACGAAGGCCACATCACCGCCTGCAGATACGTTTACCTTCCGAAGCCTCCCTGCTATCCGTAGGAGCCAGACAGGTAACGCGCACCGCTGAGCCTTCTGGGAAATGTAGTTCGGAGCAGGCGAAAAGCGGTTCCTGCCCCATAGAAGTCATTCTCTTTCCTGTTTTTGGCCATACCAGGGAGAAACCCAAGAAATATGGAGGGACAGATCTCCTGGAGCGCTGTTTTGTTTGGCTTAGTATTCTTGGCAGTTTTGTTTTGTTTTTTGGTACCAGGGATCGAACTCGGGACCTTGCACTTGCATGGCAGGCAGCGGCACCACTGAGCTAAATCCCCAGCTATGGCTTATTCTTTAGTGCAGACCACTTGAAAGTACTTAGGTCATGAGACCCAAAGCTGGTCAGGGAGGCTTGAATAGGTCAGGAGAAGTAAACTGCAAAGTGATTGGGAAGGCTGAAGGGGAGCAATCGTTAAATGTTGGATAGGTGCAGGGAGGCAGAGTTTCCGAAATTGTTGAGGGCTTGTTTTATTCTCAGATTCTGACTTCTGCATTAACAGTGGGTGCTGAAGACAATGAGGGGCGGTTAAGCGAGTTTTGTAGGAGACAAGGAGAATCCAGAGGCATGGTACTTAGGTGTTAATGGTGTCCTACGTGTTGAGAGAAACTGCACACACAATTTTGTGTGTGTAATTGATGCTTTAAATAAATACAGCCAGGCGTAATGGCGTAGGGCTGTTATCCTAGCACTCTGGGAGTCGGAGGCAAAAGGATCGCAAATTTGAGTCCAACTAGCGCAACTGGGTGAGACGCTGTCTCAAGAGTGGTATGGTGAACGCCTATAATCCCAGCACTTGAGAGGCAGAGGCAGGAGGATTATCACGTGTTCAAGGCCAGCCTAGGCTACATACGTACGAAGACTCTGTCCAAAAAAAAAAAAAAAAACA